ATAAATAAACTCTGAAACTTATTTTTCTCTGTGACCTGATTCGATTTGAACACAGCTAACAAATATGGACCAAAATAAACAAAAACCATTCCCTCCGAATTTATAATGATTTAAATGACTTTTCTAAATAATGTTTTTCTTAAAATTTACTTCTGATTTTCATTTTCTTTCAAAAGTGCAACTCAAAATGGTGCAATTGCACCTCGTAATTTTATGCATAAAAATTGTCCGAAATTAAATCCGAGCGAAGAAGTAAATTTACACGCTTTTATAGAATCAACGGTTGAAGACTAATAATTTCCGCATCAATGAAACACCATGCATATGTCTGTACATCAATAGGAAGAATATTTCAAGTATTTTACATCTACGTTCAACTTATTTTCTGTTAGTCTTATTAGAAAGGTAATCTAAGATAAATTGATGTTGGTTAACATAAATTCAATTGTCAGTGAACGAAATGGAATTTTGTAAATTTTGAGAATTTCAATTGTTTTTGTTTTATTTCCAATTATATTATGGTTGACACTATATTCTTGGGAGTGAAAATTACTTCTTAATAAATGCGTATATTTCATGCAAATTGTTATGCGTTTGAAAGTTGATTAGCGACCTTTACAACATGAATATAAAGTTTAAAGGAATCCAGTTCTATTCCCTGACTTTTCATTAGTTCCCTAGTTAATGGAGATTGACTTCGGAATACACTAGCATGTTGGAAAGAGTCACTTACTGGTAATTTATGGATTCCTCGAAACTCCAATAGGAAGCCATAACCTATAGAACCGACCGAGCTGAGGGCGATGACCAGCAATACACATATTACTTGAAATGAAAATCGCAGTAGTTTAGAATGGAAAACGTACAAACAAGTTACGTGGAAGTGTTAACATTCCCACAAACAACTCGCAACCCTAAAAAATGTATGCATTTTTATATCGCTAATAATGCTGTCCTTACAGCTTTGAAAACAAAATATTACTACCTACTAAACTCCGATAGTTTGATATTGAATATCAGAACACGATATGTGCTTACGATTACTGGTTATTCAAGATCTAATGTTCACGACTTTAGCAGCTGATGTTTCAGAGTGAACACAAATACAAGCCATCCATCAGCTAAATAGCCTTTGAGAATTAGGGAATAATATATAGGAAGTAATCACCTTAAAGTGGATTTTTTGAGTAAGTTCCTATACTCCAAAACAGTTTTAGCAGGGCTATCGTCAAAAGAGGTAAATATGTATATAGCGATCAATTATAATACGTTTGTAAACTACAAATTAATACAATTAGCGCAAGAACCCAATTACGAAGAGAACAAATAACACACGCATACCAAACAGTAACGAGGATATAATACAAAGTCAATAACAAGGATTAGTTATGTTTCACAACTGGTGCGATGTTATGATTGGTAGTTAAATAAAAAGGGTAAGAGTGATAGCCAGTCTAAAATTAAACAATCGTGGGTATTTAATGCAAATATTATTGGCTAATTTGCCCTTATCGATAGAGACTAACACACTGTTTAGCCCTTCCTTCCTGTTTTGGCACTTTTACATTGAACCTATAACCACACCTCGAATCTGACCTAGGACCTTACGATTCCTTGACGTGTCGGAATTAAGTGGTTCGCAATCCTAACTTCAGTCAATTCGCAACATTGTCCAAAAAGTTGGTGGTATCTGTCTGTTTTCGATATGGTTGAATCCCACCGGTTGACTTCATATTAGGAAACTCAGCAATTATTTTTCGGATTTAGTGCATTAAGCACGTTGTAATCATAGGATAAATCTAACGTCCCAGTAACTTAAGAAACCTATTTCTTGAGAATTCAAATATACATAACCCTGTTTGTCTATTTTCTACATAAACTGCCATTTTACTAGCATATAATCATATTATAATAGATCAACCATAAAAATGATCGATAAATTAAATAGCATTACAATTCTTCATTCCTATGATTCGTTTGTAGTGCATTCGTTGAATTGACCAGCTTCTATCACAAATGGTTCAACAAACATGAGATATTAGAAAAAACTTATAAACGATTACTACTGAAAATAAAACTTAATAATCCCACATTCCTTTCTTAGTATTTTGCATATCGCATTAATACGATTATTAGCAGCACCTTCGAAACATTTTTACATAACTATTCCCAAAGATTATATTTCACAAAACAAATCTAACGCCATTCCTTCGCTTACCACTCAGACCGAGTTCAAAATCCAAATTTGCATTAGTGAATAAGTTGAGTCATTTCACGATGTTTGTTGAGCAGTAAAAAAATTGCGTTACTATAGTAGGTAAAGATATTACATAAGCCTAACTATTATTTTCAGAACTGTTTATCGACCTTTTGCATGTGATTTTTAAACATACTTGAAGACAATAAAAGTTGTTAAATAACTACGGACCAAAACGTATCGGTGTATTGATCGTAGTAAATTGCTTGATATTCATTCTTGACAACAACTCATAATGATAAGGACTGTTTATAAAAGGCAACAAGCAAATTTTGTCAATAAACAAGAAGTAGCGCTCTAAATGATAGATAATAACCTTGAAATCAGATAGAGACAAATCATTAGGATACAAGTACATTCACCAAGCTAATTCCAAGAAGTAAAAGTAAACTCTCATCTTGGAGTCTGGCTGTTGTTCACTTTTAATCCTAACCGGAATTCTGTCTTTTCTTAAATAGTTCAGAACACCACAACACATGACAATGATATCCATTCAATTTAGCGTGCTCTTTTTTCAAGTAAACTAGATAGCGTCGATCGTTTCTGAGTTAGAAATTGCAGTTTGTCTGACAAGTCAAAGTAGGATGGAACGTCTATCTCAGTTCCACTACTGGTAGCTATCCAAAAAACGGCAAAAGTTAATAAATATTCTGTCTGTAGTTTCTCAGTATAAACAGGTGTGGATATTATTTTGACAAATTCGAGTGTACAAATCATCAGACGTTCTTAACACCTAGACCGCAATTACAATCCTCACCGAAAATTTAGTCAAAAATCACACTAACCATGCTAGGCCATATTCAGAAAAGAACTCAGTATCATCGATACTTACTTCAAGTCGCAATAGGTTCCCATCGTGGAAAAATGTATGTTACGGGTAACACTTACAAAGTACCTAGTTATTATATGGGATCTGCGGTTTACAACCCTGCCACAGTTCACTGAACCGAGAACTTCTGGTCAATCTTAAGCGCTGTCACTATCTAATGATGTACATATTGAGGTCACGAATGTGCGCTACTGAGGATTCCCATAATGGGACGAGAGAGCTACCCAGTGCTTCCTGCTTTCTAATGGTGTAATACCTAAGATCGCCTTTTAATTTAAATCATGAAGAGTATTTGATTAGTCCGTTGCTGGAGTAGCTAGATAATCTACGCTGTATTTGGGGAAGAAAGACATGCTGCTGATCCGTCATTTTATACTGTAAATAAATTCAATCCAGTTTACATTTGTCAATACGACTTTTGACTACCGATACTTGACTAAACAGTCAGTATTCATGTGATTTCAACTTACTCAGCCAATCGGTTACCATTCAGTCATTTCTAACAAAAGGGTGCAATTCGTATCAAAGCAACTTATGTAGTTTTGAAACGAGTGTCTCATTCAGTGATATCAGATGACCATAATATGGTAACCAGTAAAATAGTAGAATGCTTTGTAGTGTTAAGAGCTACTAGAAAAAAGAAAGATGACGGAGAGGATTTGCACTAAAATTTTTCACGCCAATAACGAACTTTGTAACTCTCCCATGGAAGATTGTTGCGGGAGGAAAACATATTTGGGTGAGAAATTTATTGCTGTTGTGCAACTCTGCCAAACCACAAAGTTACATGAGACAAAAGTCCAAGACACCTTTGGACGGTAGTCGTTAGCGTTTTGACCAAAGATACTTAGAGCACAGGATATTCATCTTGTTCTACAGTGGTCAAATTGTCAATTACCCCATTACGTCGATGAGATGGCACGTAACTAACGACTAAGCAACATAACGGTAATCACTCACGAGTGACATTGTTAGGTTGTCGAAATATTTGATACCCTATCAAAAAGGAGTGTCATTTTTAACGCAGAACCTGAACATGTACGCCGTCCCAAGTTGCCACACAATATTGAATTCTTAAGAAGCACGCTATAGTATAAGTATCAGCACTAGGGTAAAAGTTCGGGTGCAGGAAATAAAGGTATAACATTTCGGGATCTTAAGGAAGATACAGTGAATGCACCTTTAACATTGAAGAGGCTTTTGAATCATGTCACCTAAATTAACTAACCATTGGTTGCGATGCTTACGCGGACGTTGTTCAGTCGGTATCAAAAGGGATTGATCACGCGACATGATTGATGCAAGTTAATTTCACTTCCTTAAACTGGTAAGCATTAAGATTTTCTTCAATAGACTTACTTGCCAAGACTATTGGTAGTACAACATACGACATAATGCAAGCCATAACAGAAACAGGTCACCCCACAACAGGTTTCCACACAAACATTTGATATTAATCAAAAACCCTAACATGAAATGGAATTAACGAAGTGTTTCGTGGGAAACTTGAAGCTTCCATCAGTAATCTTATACATCCTACAACGTATTTTTCGTGATTTCTGAAACGGTCTTTGTGGTAAGCACTTGTAAATAGTACACCATACAGTAAAGTGCCTTTAATATACGATCACTCCATTACCTACATTTTTAGTTAAGCCTCCAAATGGGTTGCTGATTATCAAAACCGTAAACCTTATTACCGCTGACTAGCCTTACATATGCACAGATGAGACCACTAGAATGTTACAGCCAAACATTAGTCACGAAACTACATAAATTGACTTTAAAGTTTACAAATACATAACCACGATCATAACGAAAGACTGCTGTCATGCTTATTGCAATTCAAACTTATTTTTAATTACAACTCATAAACACTAAGTGTTATGTATTCTTAAAATGTTCTACATAACACGAACAACACCAAGACATACTCGACTGTCGATAAACAAAATAGGTCGAAATATCAGACAATCATCTATGCATTCAGAAAATGATGCCATCATCACAACTGTATTTCAAGACATTATTTTACTTTTACATATTTAGTTTTTTTTGAAGGAGCCTCGTCAACTTTGCTAGCAGCTTTTCGTTTAAGTTTTCCGTTTTTAATCGCACGCGCAAGGGCCATCTTGAAATGTTTTTCTCCAAGCGCAAATGGATTCAATTTTAGCAACGCCTAGGAAAGATTAGGAAGAGAATGGCATTATAGTTGAAAGGTCCAAGAAATGGTACAAGCTAAGTTTAAATATATTTTATAACTTACCTGCTGGTTCTTTAACGGATTTTTCTTGACCTTAGGACCTGGACGTTGCAAATGCATACGCCTGGACTTCACGACAGAAGAGACTTCACGGCAGTGTAAAAGTCTACCTAAGTCTGCATTGGCCATTTTTGCTATGGGAAGATGGAAACCGGATTTTTTTACACTTCCTGTTTTTCGAGTGCCATAAAGCTTGTCCAACTGACGGAAAGCCGAGTCTGACCAAATAGCTAAACGTCCCATGTGACCACCTGGGGCCAACTTAAGAAGATTAAGAGCCTTGACATTAATCAAAGTGACACCTAAGACACGTCAATTAGGCAAATAAAACTTACCTGGAATATTTCTGAAGGCCCGTGATATTCCATCGTCTTTTTTATAAATTATTATCGGACCACGCTTCTGAATTCGTCTTCGATTTCGCATTTTACCTTTGCCAGCACGGAATCTCTGAGAGTTATAAACTTTCTGAATATCTGGCCAAGCTCGGATCGCCTTAAGTACTTTAACCGCATCTTTTGTTTTCTTAAGTGACTCGACCTCTTTAGATAAAACAAGTGGGAGTTCAGGGACACGGTCAACTCGATGACCGCGAGCCATGACTAACGATGGCACTCCGGTCGCGGCGATTGCAGAGCATATGGCATATCGTCGCTGCTGAATATTTATCTTTCTGTGCCACCGTCTCATTGTCTTTGTAGGAGCGTACATATGACCACCACGACACATATTTCCGTAAGCACCTTGACCTGACCTGTGTGTACCACCACCCCTCACTCTAGGAATACGGGCAACTGCTCTTCCGGTACCCCAGGATTCGGCAGATGTCTGATGACCAGCCTTTGAACTAACTGCATATGGCTGTCTTGAATTTTTACGCATTTGGTCATGGACGAAGTTCAGAAGGTCCAAACGTAGTGGAGTCGTAAAGACTGCCGGCATCTTAATGGTGGAACCCGTAGATGCTCCATTCACTCCATAAACATTGACAATGGGCCTTGTAACAGCCTGAAAAACAAGAAAAAGCGTGTTACAGAAAAAAAAGGCTGTACGCAATGTTATTATGCACAAAACCAGAAACAGCAATTAACAAGCCAAGAACATGTGCCTGTCACCTAACTGAAGGATATAGAGTTTACGATAGACACTCACTCGACAAAAATATCCTAGTGTCGATCCTGAAGCGGCTTAAGTAAACAACCCAGACTACGAATGCATCGTTTTCCATACGAATGAATGGGTAGTTCTTGTACGGCGGTGTGGCACTTAGCCTCAGTCTAACGAAAAATCAGTCACTAAGGTCAAAAACGTAGATAATTATCCACGTTGCTCGAAACGTCTATAGTTTTGTCTGACGGTCATCAAAATATGAATTAAATCAGCTCCCAACAACCAGTTGGGATGTCGAAGACGACATGAAAAGTCAGACGGACAACACTACTTACTATGAACTAAAATCTTAGATACATAAGGGAAAATCGGAATATGTTGCACTTATACAGTCGGTGGAAAGACTACTTACTACTAAGCTGTCACTGTACTGGTAAATTTAGTGTAAATCCGTCTACTGTAAAGAAAATTTATATAAGACTGAAACTGAAAGCTAAAGAGACACGCAAGATAAAAGTACGAACGACAATTTCAGGGAATTATTCAGAAACAGTAAAACACCACAAACGAACCATGTTAGCGTGAACAGCAAACGATCTGTGTGCACCGCTAAACAGTAATACACTAAAACAATGACTCATATGCTCAACTGATTCCAGGTTAATAGCCAAGTATGACAGACTAAACACCATATCAAAATAAAAAATGAGTGTCTCAAAGTTTAACGTCTTAAGTATAGACAATCCTTCAGATGAGTAGAATTGACGAGTCGAACAATATTTTAGGTTTAAAGAATTTGACTCGTACGAAGCCTAACTGATCAAATACAAATTGTTCAAATTAATTCTAAATTTATATTTTAAACACTTAAGCAAATGGGCTGATTCCAGGCGAAATCAATATGACGATTTCCGTTATGCTACACTGATTAACTAGCTGTAGATCATTCGGAGCAAGGGATGCAATGTAATGAGTGTAATAAGTGGTCTCATAGCATGCGCACCCGATCAAGCCTCACTGAATATAGAAGGTACTCAAAGCCCAACTCTCATTGGCTTTGTATGTTTTGCTTCTCGAGTAAAACATTACTCACACAGGAAGCAATTAGCCTTTGGCCTTAGCTAATAAGAAGGTTGACGAAGGCTGTACTGGTAACATGTGTAATGATGGCGAAGATTGAGTCAGTGTCGTAAGCGCTGCCACAGCACAAGCCAGACATCCAACTGTGAAACCCGCAATTGAACCTTCTAACCCGAAACAATCAACGAGCGAAACGTCATTAGATATTGGTGTCCAAGTTGCTACAGCAGCAACTGGTGGTCCAGATGAAACAATTACTGCCCCGAGTAGTTCTAATGTAGATGCTACGACTGATGGAAAATGGATGACGCTTGAACGCAGAAGAGTAAGAGAAATAGCTAAAACTAATGCCCGTTTACTTGATAAGTCCTTGGTGGACTCACACTACTCCGCAAAAGTCCCAAAGTAAAGCCTCTTCAAACATTGCTGTGAGTCACTCGCTCGACTCTCATCATTATGTTACAATAAAAACTAATTGTAAGATGCCAGTAGTTAATATGCAAAATCTAACATCACGATCGAAAGCTAAACCCCTTCCTAGTTTAGTTATTTGGAATCTAGAGGAGTCGAAAGATAATGACCCTGCTAAAAGACATGCACGCGATCTGCAGTTAGTGGAATCTGTGATACGAAATGTACTACCTGAAGAGGTTTCAGGGGTACATATTACAAAAGTAATACTACTCGGTAAATTGGTTGGAAGCGAGACCCAATCAAAAAGGATCTTGAAGCTGGTTCTCGAGAATTTTGAAGAAAGAGATATATTATTTAAAAACGCACAAAATACTCGTGATTCAAATATTCGTATCCGACCACATTGGGAGCTTGAGGATCGAATAAAGTAGAAGAATGCTCTTATGGAGTTAAGAACACGAAAGTTAAATGGCTTAACCAACCTTTCCATTAAGGGTTTTCGGGTAGTCATGTCTCGGAAGCCAATGCTTCCGAGGCCTGTATGGGTAGAACGAATGATTATCAAAACACCTTAAGTGTGTGCCACACAAACGCCCGTAGTCTTAGAAGTAAAACGTCCGAGCTAAGGCTGATGGTGGATGAATTAAGTCTCGATACAATTTTTGTTACAGCAACTTGGTTCACTGTAGATACATAATGTCCTCCCATCATTGCAGGCTATATCTGTATTATAAGTTGATAGAGTTTTAAGTCGCAGGGGGGAGGCATAATGTTATGTGTTAGGGATCACTTTCGTATACAATCAGTCATATCGGAGGCTCATGTTAGTGGTACATGTGAGGTAGCATGTTGTAAGATTAAATGTAGAAATTGGTTGGTGACTATAGGAATAATATACCGTATTCCGTGTTATCTTGCTGACGAATTTGTCCTAAGACATATCTGTTCTTGGAGTATGGTAGAATGTTGTCTCATCATTGGAGACTTCAACGCACCGCATATCAACTGGATAGAGCTTACAACTCCAGGTAGTGGTTTCGATAGAGACCTTTTATCTACTGTTATTCAGCGTGCACTTGTACGATGTATCATAAAACCGACACATATTGATCTGCAACATGATCCGTCACTGTTGGACCTCGCCCTCACCCACCACTGTGAGGATGTCTTTGATATTCAGCACCTTCCCCTACTAGTGAACAGTGATCACGTTTTAATTCACTTTGAGTTTAGGACACATGGTATACAATTCGTATCTGCTCCACCCCGTCCCAATATCTGGCGAGCTAATATTCCGGAAATCAGAAACCGTGCTATCTCGACCGATTGGTCGGTCGACGCGGATGGATTGATCGAAGATGAATGTAATAAGTTTAAGGCTACATTCGAGTCCGTAACGTCGCCGTATATCCCATGGTCAGCACGTAATCTATCACATTGCCCTCCACGGATTAATAAGGAAGCCCGAAAGATGTTAAAGCATAGGAAACATTTCTGGGACTTATTCTTGTTGACAGGTCATGCACCATTTAAGCGTGAGTATCAAAAATTCCGTAATATCTATAAGAAAACCATAGCCAAATCACGTTCCACTTACGAACGACAGTTAGTATATGATAGCCGTACTTGTCCGATACGATTGTTTTCGTATGTTAAACGGTGAATGAAACGTAGTGATGGTATTCCCCGTTACTGTTACACGAAAATTCAGATTTTCTAGCTGAATCGGACCGAGTAAAAGCTTAGACTTTTTCAAACTATTTTAGCCAAGTCTTCTCTACGTTTATTGTAAAAAATACTTGTCCCGCTCACACCGAGATACCAGCCATTAAATCTGTACAGGTGACTGAGGAAACTGTCCTTCCGTTGATAACTAACCTCTAATCTTGTAGGATACCGGACCCTGACGGGTTATATCCACGGCTGCTGTCACCTCTTGCGGACATTATTTCAAAACCGCTCACGACACTCTTCAACATGTCCCTTTCACTCGCTCAACTCCCTAGAGATTGAAAAGACGCTATAGTCAGTCCTATGTTTAAGGATGGTGTTAAATCTATCGAAGCGTTCAAGTCACCCGATTGAGATACGCGCAAAACAGAAGTTTCCAAAACGATGATTTCCCTACAATAGCGGTTCTTTATTGAATAAAAAACAAAATTTAGTTACGAACCTCAACTTGTGAGGCGTTAGGGGCGTTTAAACGCGTCCTTCAAGTATGAAACTAAAAAGGCTTCCTGTAACAGTAACAAAGAATAATTATAACATACGATAGTACAAAGGATAGTTGATAGCTGTGTTTAAATTTGATAACAGATTACGAACAACCGAAACCCGAACCAAGAGCAAACAATATGGAAACTGTTGCGTTTAAACAAATGCACAAAACTGTGGATAACGGCTACAGCGATTAAGATACAGTAATTATAATGATAAATACAATGATAGGTACAATAAACGTTACAAGTATATGTGAACATTTCAGAATATTACAGTACAACTTGCGTTACAACACAGGTGTGAAAATTGTTGGGAATAAAACTGCTTACTGAATGTAAAAAAGTAGTATAAGGCAATATACAAAAGAGTAGAAAGGGAACGAGTGGGAACGTAAGACAAACTTAACAGATGGTCTGAGACATATCGTATCTAACTACCGACCTGTCAGTCTAACTAGCATTGTCTCTAAGTTACTTGAAAATATAATTCGAGTTAGGTTGCTAAGCCATATAGATTCACACAATCTGTTAGCTCCTGAGCAACATGGATTTCGTAACAAGCGTTCATGCTTGACTAACTTACTTATTGCGAGAGAAAACTGAGCGGCAGCCTTAGATAAAGGTCTGTCTGTCGATGTGATGTTCATAGATTTTAGCAAAGCACTTGACCAGGTTTCACGCTTAGATCTTATGCAGAAGCTCAAGAGCTTTGGGATAATAGGTTCTGTACAGAAGTGGATAAGAAACTTCTTATGTGACAGCAAACAGAGAGTGAGGGTCAGTGGAACGCTATCCGATTGGAAGGCGGTCAAAAGTGGTGTACCCCGAGGCACCATCTGAGGCCCTCTACTGTTCCTTCTCATCGTTAATGAGTTACCGCTGTTGCTTAGGTCATCGACATTATTGTTTGCGGATGGCGTAAAAATCTGGAGAACAGTAAAAAGTGAAGATGATCATTTGGATCCCCTAGCTGACTTAGACGATTTAATTAGATGGGCTGGAGGTTGTGGCCTAGAAATCAATTCTAGGAAGAGTGTGCTAATGCACATCGGTCACGGTAATAGTTACCATTATACTATTGATGGTAAATCTCTTCCATGCGTTCAAGAACATAAAGACCTAGGAGTAATAATAGGTCATGACTTAAAAACAACTACGCATTGCAAAGCAGCCGCTGTCAAATATTTTCATGCGTTATGGTCACTTCGTCAAGCGTTCAAACATTTTGACGAGGAAATGTTTCGAATTTTATATCCCACCTATGTAAGACCACATTTAGAGTACTGTATCCAAGCAGCTAGCCCATGTCTGGTAAAGTTTGTTAACTCACGCGGACGTGTCCAGCCTGTGGAAACGAAATTGGTGAAGGGTCTTTCTAAACTCCCTTACGATGAGCGTTTAAAACACCTAAACCCTTTCTACTTGTCGTGTCGTAGAACGCGAGGTAATCTTATACTGTCATTTCCTATCATTAATTATGATTTGGGCGTTAACATGTCTTATCTTTTTTGCTCCATTCAGCACTAACAATCTCCGAGGTCACAACAAGAACGTTCACAAATCGCGATCTAATAAAATTAAAGCGGGGTCCCGTTTTTCTAATCGAGTGGTCAATGACTGGAACGCCTTACCCGAACAAGTGGTATCAGCCCCATCAGTGGGTATTTTCAAGGAGAAGCTGGACCTTCAGTGGAAGGCAATCTGTCAGGATTAACACAGGTTCACCAACCTACTATCCTTATTACGGAAGACTTAAGACTGATAACGACTATGTATGCTTAGAATGAATGTAAGCTCAGTATTGCATGAGTATATGGTGTATTTCAACTGAACTATAAACATTAAAGGCGAATCCTTAGCCTTTTGCCCAGCATCTTTTCGTTTTCGGCTGTATCAAACTGGCTGTTGATCTTATGTCGAACGTTCTCCCATCTCCTCTGAATAATAATAATAATAATAATAATTTATTCTCAAATAGC